GTGGGCGGCCACGTGATCTTTTGACATCCCGTGGAATCCAGTCGGTAATGGCTCTAGTACAGCGGTCGTCTTCAAATCTTATTACGTGTCCAGCCCATCTGATTTTCAATGCCTTTGCAAACGAGACAGTGTTCCTGATTCTTGATCGTTGACGGAGGTCAGAACTCTGGATTCTTTCTCTCATTTGAGTGAAGCGTGATACTCCAAGCATAGCTCTTTTGATTCCTCTTTGGGAGACCCGATAGCATTCTCATCCTGTTTTTGTAGGGCCTAGGCTCTGAGGCATATGTTAATGCAGGACGAACAGTGGAATTGAAGCGATGTGCCCAGAGACTCAACTATAAACCTCTCAGAAGAGAGCACAGAACGATTTGCTATAGACATGCCTCCAAGCCCCATGCCAGGCTGTTTCATCCGGAACAATCCATAGTGGGTCAGGTGAGGTCCCCTCCTCACCCCAAAGGAGTTAACCCTTACAGCCAAAACCCTCCAGAACTCAACCTCTGCCACACTAAGGAGCGCTCTCCACACACTCAGATGAGCCTCACAAGTGAGTGAATGTATTCCTGGACATCTCATGCTTTACACCATTGATATACCAAGAGTAGCACACCACATTTGATGGAGTTTAAAGTAGAAGGCAACGAATCTTAGGAGGAAATATATTGATACATATATATGTATATATGTATATATATGTATATATATATATATATATGCACACAAGTCTCAACCTTTAACTACATGTTACTACTCTCTTATAGAAGAGATTAGAATGGCTCCTGGGTAAAATATAATAATATTCACACACTTTCCTCTAAGAAACCTTTTTTGGACTATTTTTAGCAAATTATTCATAACAAGCAATACAAAATAAATTACTTCGGTTCTGCTTTGGGGACAGGGTTTGGGGTTTGGGATGGAAACATCCAAAATATGGTGATGGGAAGGTGTAATGGTGGTGGGATTGGTGTTTGACTATTAAACATAATCAAATATTGTGAGCAACTTTATAAAAATAAAATTCAATTTTAAAAATTCATCTAAATGATCTATTTCAGATCCAGACTCCACCTTTGTTAGGCACAAGCATGCAAATGTCTAGGCTTTAGAGACAGACATGAATGTCAATAGCACTGAGCTGTGTGATCCTGGCAAGTAGCCCACCTTTCTGAATCTCAGTTCCTTCTTTAGAAATGTGGGAGGGAATAATATCCACATTAGGGAATCTTTTTTTAAAAAATTAACTTATTAAAATAGGCCATATTAGCCATTTTGGAGTTAATTGCATGCTTTCTGTTGTACAATCTTGAAAACTTTTCTGTCTTGTTCTATCCGTGAAACAATACCCATTCACTACCACCCCCATTCTTCCCACTAGCCCTAGACAAATTATCATAAAGGTAAAGGTAAAGGTAAAGGCCCTCCCGTTGTTCATCGATTTGCTCGAGTGGGCCCAGTAATGTCTCCATTGGAGATTTTGTTGTTACTGTGTTTGGCATATCGAATACATCATGGGTGGCTTGCCAGGCTCTACCGTGTGGGCGAGATACTCTCGGTAGCTTGCCGGGCTCTCCAAGAGGGGCGGAGGAATCGAACTCGAGTCGGCCATGTTGGCTGCATGCAAGGCAAACGCCCTACTGCTGTGCTATCGCTCCAGCCCCACAAATTATCATAGTCCCTATGAATTTGATTATTCTAGATAACTCATGTAAATTGAATTGTTCAACATTTGTATCTAGCTTATATATTTTTTGTATCTAACTTACTCTGCTGTGCATAATATACTCAAGATTCACTCATGTTGTAGATTTGTTGTAGTGGCATCAGAATTTCTTATGCAAGAGTGAATAATATTCATATGTGTGTACATATATATGTGTGTATATATATATAATTATCTTTCTACCTGTGCACGTCAGTGAACACTTGGCTTCCTTCAATCTTTTAGCTATTGTGACTAATATTGTCATGAGCATGGGTATAAAAGTATCTCTTTGAGGGGCCCAGGGAGATAGTACCGGAGATAAAGCACTTGCTTTACACCCTGGTTTGATTTCCAGTACCACATACACTCAAAGCCAGGAGTGAGCCCTGAGCACTGTCAGGTGTGGCCCACAAAACAAAAAAAGAAAAAGGTATCTATTTGAGATGCTGATTTCATGCTGTTGAATATATACCCGGAAGTAGAATTGCTGGATCATATGGTATTCTATTTTTAATTTTTGAGAAGCCACTGTACTATTTTTTTATAGCAGCTGTATCATTTTATATTTCCACCAACAGTGCACAAAGGTTCTAGTTTTTCTATATCCTGGCCAACATATGGTATTTTCTGTATTTAAGAGTAGCCATCCTCATAGGTATAAGATAATATCTCATCGTGATTTTGATGTACTTTTCCCTAATAGTAATACTATACTTTAGTTCATGTGCTGTTAACCACTCTACATCTTCTTTGGATAAGATCCTGTTTATGTCTCTTGCCCATTTTTAATTGGGTAGGGTTGTTTTCTTTCTTTTTTTTCCTTTTTGGGTGATACCCAGCGATGCTCAGGGGTTACTCCTGGCTCTGCACTCAGGAATTACTCCTGGTGGTGCTCGGGGGACCATATGGGATGCCAGGGATTGAACCCAGGTTGGCCGCATGCAAGACAAACACCCTACCGCTGTACTATCGCTCTGGCCCCAATGGTTGTTTGTTTTCTGTTTTTGAGTTTTCAGAGTTCTTTATATATTCTGTATATTGCAGATATTTTCTTTCCTGGTGTAGATTGCCTTTTTGTTTTGTTAATTGTGGATTTTTACTCTTTGTTTTGGGGACAAACCCAAACCCAGCAATGCTCAGAGATTACTCCAGCTCTACACTCATGAATTACTTTTGGCAGTGCTTGAGGGACCATATAGGATTCCAGAGATCGAACCCAGGATGACCATGTGCAAGGCAAATGCCCTACCCACTGTACTATCACTCTGGCCCCTGTGTCTTTTGATGCACAATTTTTAATTTTCTGGTAGTCTTTTTCATGGGGCCACAAATGTTGGGTAGTGGAAGACTCTATACCACATAAGTGAGAGACTCTGGGTTTGATTCCAGCATCACAAACAAAATCAATTTACCTATTTTTCTGTTCTTGCATATGCTTTTGGTATCGTATCCATGAAATTACTGCCAGATCCAATGACATATAGATTTCCCCCTGTTTACTTATAAGAGTTTTTAGGTTAGCTTCTCTTATCTATTTAGAGTTGATTTGTATTGAAGCATAAGATAAGGGCCTAATTTCATATTTTTGCATGTGGATGTCCTTTTTACCTACTACTAGTTGTTGAAAAAAAGCTGCCCTTTCCCACTTAATGATCAGGAAGTTGTTTTGTGGATGAAATAGTACTATACTTGGAACTCTGAACTCTATGCCTGGAAGTGACTTAGAAAAATGAATCTAAATAGGGGAGAGGAGCCAAGGGACTGGAGAGCATGTCTTGCATGTTTAAGGTCATAAGTTGAATTCCAGGTGGTCCCTGAAACCACATGGTCCCTGGAGCACCATCAGGAAAACTCTAGTGGACTTCAAGCACTGCCAACTGGCCTGCACAGCCCTATTGAGTATAACTGGACATGCCCTGGGGTTCTGAAAACTACTGGGGGGTGGGAGGAAGAGGCACAGATACTCCAAAATAAATAAATGACCCTTTGTCAGTCTTATTTCCCACATCTGTTTCATCACCTTTATTCAAGATGTAATGTTCAACTATCAGTGTTGATTTGTAGTAATTACGATAGCAAATACTCACTAGTGCTGTGTGCATATATTCCAAGCTTTACGTTCATTAGCTTGTTGATTTGTCATAATGACTCTGGGGGTAGGCACTGCTGTCTTCACTATTTTATAAATGAGGATATTGGAGTACATGGAGGTTGAATAATTTGTCCAGGATCACATAGCTAGTGAGTGGTAGAGTCTATGTTTGAGTCTATGTTTGAACTAGGTAATTTGGTTCCAGAATTGGTGTAACTGTAACTAGTTAGCCAGTAACCATAACCTCATCCTGATTGGGGTGAATGGGGCGGGGGCAGAGGTGTGCAGCAGGGTTTGGGCCATACCTGGTGGTGCTCAAGCTTACTCCTGGCATTCTATTCAGGGAACTCTCTCCTGGTGATGCTTGGAAGATCATAAATGGCTCAGGGGATTTAACAACAGCCAGCCACATGCAAGGCCTTACCCTCTATACTATATTCCTAATACCAGGGGTGAAACAAATATTCGGGGGGTAGGGCACCCATCGTGGTGCTCAGGACTTACTCCTGGTTCTGCACTCAAGTATCACTCCTAGTGGGCTCAGGGGACCATATGGGATACTGGAAATAGAACCCGGGTCAGCCTCATACAAGTGACAATACCCTCTGTACTCTATTCCCAGGGGTGAATTTTTTTTTTGGAGGGGGGGTTAGTCTGGTTAGTTTGGGGGCTGCACCTGCTTGTGCTCAGGGCTTATTCCTGGCTTTTGCTCTGAGCTCATTCCTGGCTTTGCCCTCAGGGATTAGTCCTGGGGTTCTGGATGCCTGGGATTGAATCTTTGTCAGCAGCATGCAAGGCAAGAACCCTACCCACTGTACTATTGTTCCAACCCATGAGAGGGGTGTGGATTTTGATGGCTTAGGCCTATCATGAGCTTTTTAGACTGAGGTTTTCTTAGTTGTATGTGTCTGTGTGGTGCCAGGAATTTAACCTAGGTGTCATGCACGCAGGTATGTGCTTTACCAGAGTCACATCCCTGGTCCCTCAGTCTGGAGTCTATGAATGAAGGCATCTGTCCCCAGGCCCTGGTCTCTCACTGGCTATTTTCTGGGCAGAAGTACCCCCAGGACTGCTGTTGGCTCAGCACATCTCCTCTTCTTTGGAAGAAGACTGTGGCAGTTCTGTTCCTTTCCTGTCTTCTGCCAGAGCCCTCTTATTCAGGACAAATGTAAATCAGTTTTCTTTTCTTTTAATTTACAGAAAAGGCAACAGATGGCTCCCTGCAAAGTGAGGATTGGACATTGAACATGGAGATCTGTGACATCATCAACGAGACAGAAGAAGGGTACGTGTGTTTCTCCACTCTTCCAACCTGTGCTGCTCGCAGTGCTTGAGTACCAGTGACAACTGCTTCTGATAGCCTTCTTTCAAGCCCAAGGGAAGATGGAGTCGGGGTTGGGAGGGATTATACAGTGGCTAAGGCACTTGTCTTACATGCGGCCTATCGGAGTGAGATCCCTGGCACACTTGAGGTCCCCTGAACTCCACCAGGAGTTTTCCCTGAGGGGTGGAGGGCTATATTGCATGCGGCTCACCCAGGTTCAATCCCCAGCATCTCATATGGTCTTCCAAGCACCATCAGGAGTGATTCCTGAGTGCAGAGCCGAAGTGACTCATGAGAATCACCCAGTATGACCCAAAAAAACAAAAAAAAAAAATTTTTTTTTAAGTCAAAAAAACCCAAGGAGTGTTCCCTGAATGCAGAGTTAGGGGTAACCTCTGAGCATAGCTGAGTGTAGACCCCCCACACACACACTCAAAAAAAGGGGAAAAAATGAAGTTGCTTAATTTCTTGGCCCCAGTGGTTCTTCGTGTCTAGCTAGATAATCTCCTCCTACCCCTCATGCCAGCCCATTCCAGCCCTTTACACACTTGGAGTGATCTTTGCCCTGTGCAGCTGGCCTGGAGCCCAGGAGCCCAGAGAAAACCCACAGAAGGAGGCTAGGAGGGGGAAATACACATAAGCTAAAGAATATGTCTGTGTGGTTGGGCTTGGCCCACAAGCTACCCTCCCAGCCCTGCACTGCCCCAGTTTGCTCATGCGGTTTACATGGTGCCCTCTACTACCTTCCAGCTTCTTTGTATATTTACTTTGGGTTTTGGTTTTGTTTTGGGGCCACACTCAGCGATTCTCAGGGGTTACTCCTGTCTCTGCACTCAGGAATCACTCCTGGTGCTGAGGGGACCATAGGGAATGCCAGGGATTGAACCCGGGTCAGCCATGTGTGACCCAGGCACCTTTCCTGCTGTCCTGTTTCCCCGCCCCTATGTTTATTTCTTTTGTAGGAGCCTCTGTTTGTTCCTCTGCCCAAACTGTAAAGATCTTTTCCTGTAGCCATGTCCCCCTAAACCGTCTCTCGAGTACTGAGCCCAGCTTGAGCCCAGCTTGAGCCCAGCAGCCCTGCATTTGCACCTTGGCACATCACTCCAACCTTCCTGACCTTGTAAGGCCAGGGAGCTGCCTCTTCCAACTGGGTGTTCAGTCAATAGGTATTTACAGAACAACTGCCTGTGCTGAGCCCTCATGCAAGTGGTGGCAGCACAGCCACGCATAGGGCAGAGGGACACCCTGCCCTCTGGAGAGTTGACAGTGTCACAAACGAGATAACCTGGTCAGATGGGGACAAAACTGTGCAAATGAAGTTGCGAAGAGAGGGAAGGCAGCGGTCTCCGCAGGTCTCCCTGGAGAGACTAGGGCTGAGGTGCACACCCAGGTGGTGTCTGTCACTGCTGACTTAGGGGGAGAAGTAGACGGGAATGTCCCCTGCAGGAGCAGGCTGTGGGCGGGTGTCTCCAGGATGGCAGGAAGAGAAGTAGTGTGTTGGAGACACAAGCCGCCTGGGTGAGCAGGAGAAAAGGGAATGTCTGAAACGGAGGCCAGCAGGGAAGTTGAGTCCAAGGTTGTATTCCAGTTGGTCCTTGGCTCCATCCCCTTCCTTTCATTCCCTCCAGATAGGCGGATGAGGTCTTGGAACCTAAGAACTCACTGATACCTGTTTGGTAAGAAACTTTCTCTCTCCGGGTGAGAATCTGTCACAGATCCCGCACGGGAATTTGGCCCTGTGCTGCCCCATGTGGGGCCATGTCCTCACCCCCGTCCTTACTCTTCAGCCCTGAGTGACATTTCACCTTGTGCTTATCCATGCCCATGCGGTAGATTAAGTTCTGTAGATGTAAGGAGTACACAGATCCGCTCTGGGGACTGGCTTCTCCCAGGTCTGAGAGGGCAAAGAGCAGGCCAGCGGCTCTCCCCACCCCCCACCCTCCTTAACTGCCTTGTCTCCCCTGCCTCTCCCTGAAGCCAGTGCTCTCACCCCCTGATTTCTCACTTTGGATCTCACTGTCCTCACATTCTCCCTCCAGGTTTAGATTCTCTCATGACTTCATAATAACTTTATATCATCCTTAAGTTCCTCAGCCGAAACTCAAATGTCTGTGTGATGTTTGTTGGAATGTCTCTCTCAGCCCATACTCTTTCCAGGGGGTCATGAAGTCTAGGTATGAGCTCCCTGAGGGCAGGGATTTGGTTCAGGAACCATTTCAGCCCTACCACTGGCGTAGGGTGTACATCCTTGGCTCTTGACATGTTTGTTGAAAAAAGGTGAATAAATAAACGAAGTCCCCCAAGCAGCTCCTATTCTAGTGAGGAATGCAGACATGTGACATATCACACTGCAGCATGGTAAGTGCTCCCAGAGAGAAGCCATGTTGAGATGCAGAGAGAGAAAGCCTAGAGCAGAGACAGCTGGTCGGCGCTGCGGCTGTTGGCAGCAAGGGTTTCTCAGAGGAGTCTTGTGCTGTGCCAGAGCATTCGCCAGGAGCAGGTGGGTGGCAGGGAAGAAGGTGGGCACCCTAAGGTGAAGGAGAGCGTGTGAAAAATATATACACAAAGGCCTCTAGGAGGGTTAGGAGCCTGGAGCCACTGCCTGGGCTGGAATCCTGGACTTACCATTCGCTCTCCATGTGACTTGGGTGAATTGCTGAATCTCCCTGGTCTCACATACCTCGTTTAGAAAATGGGGTTGCCAACACTATCTGTGCTGTGGGTTTATGACCCTTCCCTCTCTGCCGTTTCCTGGACACTGGCTGCTTACTGTCCCCCATGTCGAGCCCAGGTAGGCTCCACATACTTCAGCGTTTAGCCTCAAGCCGACTGGTTTTGTCCTTTGCCAGTGACCTCACAGTATACCCGGGAAAGTCAGGTGCAGGATGGGGGCCCAGGCTGCCCAGCTCTCACCACCCAGGCTCTTGCCATTCTTTTATTTATTCTGAGCTTTCACTCTTTCACTCTGGGAGCTTATGGTCCTTTCTGCAGCCTGGGTGTCTTGCCCTCCACACCCCTCCCTGCTGCTGCCTTCGTTTCCAGGGCTAAGATGGCCCCCAGCCTGTGGTGGTGGTCTCTGGTGTCCTGGGTTCTTGCTCACTAACCAGGAGAGCCTGGCTGAAAGATCTGCCCAGGAATATTTTAGGCTCGGCTCACCAGGCTCCCGCAAGACTACTAAGGAGGGAGCAGATGTGGGACTTCGGTTGGTGCCCTCAGGCAGTTCTGCAATGCCAGCTCTCAGGAGGATCCACTGACCTGGATCCATTTTGTAACCACCATGGGATCTTCCCCAGCTCACTGACTTTATGGCCCAGCCTGCCAGTGGGAGGGGCCCAGCCAAGAGTGGATGGGAAGCAGCAGGAGAGCCAGGCAGCAGAGGAGATGCGCAGGTATGCAGGGCTCAGCCTGCCTTCCCAGGGCACTGGGAGAAAGTGTCGGAAGTGGTAGTTTTGGAGCCGGGGGCAAGAGGAGTCTGGCATGACTTGCAGATCCAGGGAAGGCTAAGGCTGAACCCCAGGCTCGGTCGTGAGGGCTCTGACCAGCTGGCCGCCAGGTCAGCCCATCCGCCCTTGAGCTCCATCTTGGCTCCAGACTCTCCTTCCTCCCTGCTTCCAACTCTGCTCTGTCTAATCTGCTGCTGTTTCTTGAAATTTCACAATCCCTCTGACATAGCTTTGATCCTCCTCTCTGAAGCTTCTCCCCCGGGGAGAGAGATAAATACTTGCTTTTGTGCTCACCCAGTCACTCTCAGACAGTACTTCCTGCAGCTGAATTTTCATTTTAACTCTAACCCAGGCGCCTGCTGACTCTCTGATTTCCCACCACCGCCATCACCCCACACTGGGAGCGCTCTGAGTGTGCTATGCTCTATGAGCTAGAAGTGATCACAGCCCTTGGAGGCTGTTCCCATTTTTTTCGACTGTGTGGAAATTCAGGAGGAGAGGAGAGACTGGATCGAGAGGGATGGCAAGCCACGGGTCAGAGTTAGCAGTGGCTCGACCAAGCCTCTGAGAGAGGAAATCAGTCAAGGCTCGTGGCCTGCAGCTCCCAACCTTCACCAATCAGACCTACAAGTGCTCAAAGCAGAGAACTCCTGGACTTCCATTACAGAAATCAACTTCCTTGTTTGGAAGTCGCTGCCACACTGCAATTACTAGGAAGGTAGTGGTCTAGTCCCCAGGGGCCCCAGAGGCCCATTAACCCTTGGATGCAGGAGCCAAGAGCTCCTGCAGTGCAGTCCTGCTTTACTCTGAGAGTAGGAAATTGGTGACTTGACGGGTGGTCTTTAATTTTATCTAGAGGGACTGGAGAGATAGCATAGCAGATAGGGCGCTTGCCTTGCAAGTGCTGACCTGGACTCGATCCCCAGCACCCAGCACCGATATGGTCCCCTGAACACCACCAGGAGTAATTCTTGATTGCAGAGCACGGAGTAACCTCTGAGCTCTGCTGGGTGTGACCTCTTTCTCCTCAAAACATAAGTAAATAAATAAATAAACTTCTTTCAGAAGTTTTTCCTTGCTACTGTGTATTTCTGTCTAAATTTGACTGGCTGGCAGAACTTCCACCCTCCTCTCCCCTAGCTTAGCTCCTCATGCACATTTGAAAAGCATTTTTCGCTTGATAAATAGTTAATAGTTTAGAACTGTAAGAATAGAAAGGCCCTGACTTACGAATCTTCCATTTAGTTAAGTAAGACCCACATAGATTGGTACATTGGTCGCTGGAAGACTAGAGCTGCTAGCGAGGACCAGCAGCCAGCAGCCACACTGGGGCTCCCCAGAGCAGTGCTAGCAAGCATCAGGGAGGAGCTCCAGACCAAGGGGACTCTTCACCCCACAACTTGGTTGACTCTTGGCACAGAATCACTGAAATAATTTGGTTGACCCAAGGGCTACATCTACTAGGTACTCCTCGAGTCCCAGCTCTAACGTTGATTTAAGAAGAATGTTCATGTTCTGAATATGAAAGAGCTTTGAACACAGGCCGTTTGTAAATTGGGTGTGTCTATTTGTGAGATTCTTTCTGGGAATCTATATAAGCCTGTTGCTTAAAAGTACACACTCTCCAGGCTGGAGCAATAGCACAGTGGGTAGGGCATTTGCCTTACATGCAGCCGACCCGGGTTCAATTCCCAGCATCCCATATGGTCCCCCAAGCACCACCAGGAGTAATTCCTGAGTGCATAAGCCAAGAGTAACCCTGTGTATCACCAGGTGTGACCCCCCCCCCCCCAAAAAAAAAGCAAAAAAAGAAAAAAAAAACTACACACTCTCTTGGGTTTTGGTCTGGAGCCATAGCACAGCTGCGAGGGCATTTGCCTTGCACGTGGCTGACCCAGGTTCGATTCCTCCATCCCTCTCGGAGAGCCCAGCAAGCTACCGAGAGTATCCCGCCCACACAGCAGAGCCTGGCAAGCTCCCTGCAGCATATTCAATATGCCAAAAACAGTAACAAGTCTCACAATAGAGACGTTACTGTTACTGGTGCCGCTCGAGCAAATCAATGAACAACGGGAGGACAGTGCTACAGACAGTGGTTGGGTTTTGAAATTTACATTTTTCTCAAGAGAAAAACAAGTTTCCTGGAACCAAGGAGTAGCTAAACATCAGCATAAGACAGGACCTGGCCATTCTCTGGTTGTTCTGTGGCTTTATTTTTTATTTTATTTTATTTTATTTTATTTTTTTGCTTTTTGGGGGGTCACACCTGGCTGGGTGATGCTCAGGGGTTACTTCTGGTTCTGCACTCAGGAATTACTCCTGGCTGTGCTTGGGAGACATATGGAATGCCAGGGATCAAACCTGGGTTAGCCACATGCAAGGCAAATGCCCTACCTGCTGTACTATAGCTCCAGTCCCCAAACTCTCTTTAGTGTACCCACATACCAGTAGATTAATTATTGCTTTGAGTAAATACTATTTGTGTGTGATGCAAAATTCAAAGGGATTGCAAAATAAGCAATTCAGGAAAGGAAAAAAAAAACACCTTCCTTACTCTGTCATTCAGTTTCCTGCTGAGGGGTAGCCAGTTACTAGCTTCTTGTATGTCCTTCCTGATACTTTATTCCACGAGCTGGTGGGTACAGGATGTGTGTTGTCCATTTGTAAGTTTAGACAGAAATTGGAGCATAGAAGTGACCATACTGTTGGATACTTAGTACATTTCCAATCTTGTACATTTATAAATATGCTACAGCAAATAACCTTGTCTATGTACCACATGACACACTGGCAGTGACTCTGTGGCATGCGCTCCAAATTGGAATTTGCAAGGACTTACATAAGTTCTTTTCTTCAGGCCAAAGGATGCAATTCGAGCCCTGAAAAAGCGACTCAATGGGAACCGGAACTACAGAGAAGTGATGCTGGCACTAACTGTGAGTGTCCCCTGTATAGGTAAACTTCTGGGAAAACTCAGGTCACTGGCAATGTCTAACTCACAGCACCTTGCTCTGTTTGTTCTGTACTGACAGCCACGGGGTTGGGGCAGTGACTTTCTGGTAGTAACTTTGGGTTTTCCTACCCTCCCCTGAAATGGGATAAGCTTTTACGTGGTAAATATAAACCATCAGAGATAAGGCATAGACTGAATGGCCAAATTATAGAAGCCCAGAGCAGAGAAACTCAATGGGTGGGTTGGATCAGCCTAATATCTGAACTATCCGGACTAGCTGCCTGCTTTCTTTATATAAATGCTGACTTCTACCCAGATGAGAGCCTTTCTGGGTGTGAATTCAAATGTTTACTATAACCTTCCAAAATAGGTGCTGCCATCCCCCATATGGATGAAAAAAGTGGAACTCGAAGAGGTCTAGTAGTTTGTCCAAGCTTCATAGCAAGAGAGGTTCTGAGCAGTGATAGCAGGACGCAGGCACTGTTAAAAACTCATCAGCCCAAAGACAGGTTCTTGAAAAAGTCAACCAGACAGACTTCTTCCAGGAAGGGATGCGTCAGATTTTTGCCCTTCCTTCAGATGTTAGAAAATTAAAAGGAACAACTTCAGGTGTTATTTCTGTCTTGAAAGCTCACAGTTTTTCAGATGTGGCAAAAACTGGGCCACATGAGTTCTTATAATAGAAGCTATGACAAGTCAGCATGTGGACCTCTCTGTAGGTTTGAATAGTGGGTTATTTATCCAAAATACCCATAACGTGTTTCCTTTTAAAACAGAGAAACTGTTTGGATTTTTTTTTTTTGCCCAAGTGAAAACCCAAGACTTATTAAGTGAATTCACTCAGAGAGGGAATTGGGATTTGAATAATAAAGGAGAAAAAGACCAGTTGAGAAACAGGGAATTGAGAGCTCTTATTTTTTTCCCTCCAGATTTTGGGCAATGGCATTCACTAAGCCCAGAGTGATAAATGAATTGTTTTCAGTAAATAAAATCACCAGGGAATGAGCTCTACCACGTCAGGACATTTTCCTGGCATCTAAAATATATTCCTTTACTTTCTGCCATCATGGTGGTACTAGGGAGTAGAAATCTTTCTAAGGAGACTCTTGAATTTTACCTTTGTCCTGTAGCAGTGCTTGTGGGAATCACTTAACCCTTCCTGAAGGTCAGGTCTTTTGTCTGTTTTTGTTTGGGGCCATACCTGGTAGTGCTCAGGAGCTACTCCTGACTCCATCTGGGCAGTGCTCAGGGGACCGTGCTGTGGCGGAGATCCAGCCTAGGCCTCCTGCATGAAAAGCATGTGCTCCAGTCAGATTTTTGTACACGCTGGGCAAAAAAACTTGAACTGGAGAAGCCTCCGACCCTGGTCAGGTCTTTTTTGGGTAGTAATATTATTATTACTATACTATACTCAGACAGGGAATTGGAATTTGAATAATAAAGGAGAAAAAGATCAGTTGAGAAACAGGGAATTAAGAGCTTTTGTTTTTAGTAGTAATATTATTATTACTATTCTATCTCTCTGCCCATATTTTTACTGAGAATCATTGACATCTAGCATATGTAAGTTTTGGGTGGGTGTTCAATTGGATGATTTTTTTTTTCTTTTTGGGTCACACCCGGCGATGCTCAGGGGTTATTCCTGGCTCATGCACTCAGGAATCACTCCTGGCGGTGCTTGGGGGACCATATGGGATGCTGGGAATCGAACCTGTGTCGGCCATGTTGGCTGCGTGCAAGGCAAATGCCCTACCCGCTGTGCTATCGCTCCAGCCCCAATTGGATGATTTTTACATGTATATACAGATTGCCACAGTAAGGCTAGTTTATAGTTGTTTTTTTTATGGTTTAAGAAAACTGGAATTAACTTTATTTGGAAATCATTCTCCTAACCAAGTCAAGTCAGGAACCTCCATAAAGATCCCTGAATTTACAATTTCAGTGTTCTTGTGTTTCTTGTCCAATTTGAGAATTAGTGAATAAACTCCAGATGAAACAATTTGACAGCACAAAAGCAATGTACAGTATAAATATTCTTTTTTTTTTTTGTCTTTTAAGGCTAGTTTATAGTTTTATCCCCTCACATAGCATTTATAGCTAATTTCTTAACAAGTTTCAGTTACATGCTATAGTTAAGTTTAATCATGATACTATATAGTAGGGCCCCAGACTTATTCATAGCTGAAAGTTTATGGAGTTTTTTTTTGGGGGGTATTTTTTGAGCCACACCTGGCAATGCTCAGGGTTTACTACTGGCTCTGTGCTCAGGAATCACTCCTGAAGGTGTTCAAGGGACCGTATGGGATACCAAGGAACAAAACTAGGTCAACAACATGTAAATCAAGTACCTTGCCCGCTGTACTATCTCTCTGTCCCCTCATAGCTGAATATTTGAACCCTTTAGCCAACATCTCTCCATTTATCCTACCCCAAACCCCTGGGAAACACCATTCTATTCTATTTCTATGTGTTTGCCTTTTTAAGATTCTGCATTTAAGTAGGAACATACAATATTTGTCTTTCTCTGTCAGACTAATTTCATTTAGCATAATGTCCTCAGGGGCCCTCCATTTTGCCGAGAAAGGCTTGGTTGTTTCATTTGGTTTGGTTTGGTTTGGTTTTGGGGACCACACTAATCAGTGCTTGAGGGCTACTCAGGACTTGGTGCTTGTGTGACCATGAAGTTTCAGGATCAAACCTAAGGCTCTGGAATGTAATACATGTGCTCAACTTCCAGAAAAAATACCCAGGTATGCGGGTTCAGGGACTAAGACTCCAGGCCACATGGCGACACCCTTCCCATCTCCCCACCCGCTTGGGGTCCTAGCTGTCACACCCATGATCTGGGTCTGGGCGCCATCTCAGAGCTTTGATCCACATACTCCCAAATGAGTCTCAAAATAGATTTGCTTGGGGCTGGAGCGATAGCACAGCGGGTAGGGCGTTTGCCTTGCATGCAGCCAACATGGCCGACCCGGGTTCGATTCCCAGCATCCCATATGGTCCCCCGAGCACCGCCAGGAGTAATTCCTGAGTGCATGAGCCAGGAGTAACCCCTGAGCATTGCCGGGTGTGACCCAAAAAGCAAAAAAAAAATGGATTCGCTCCCTGCAGAGATGTCTCTGAACCCCAACTGTAAGAAAACATTGGGTTCATTCTTTCAGCCTTGCTGCAGGGAACTTAGTTCACCTTAAAGCGATGTCCTTTCTGTATGGACACAGGAAGACAGTTAATATTATGCTTTTGTAACTTGGGAGTTGATTGACTCCAAATAATATTTACTCCTGGGCTTCTGCTTTCTCGACTTGTTTGCCCTTAGTTCCTAGAACCCCAAAATCAGGGTCCTGACGAGGGACTGAATGGACCCAGGGCAAGCTTTGAGCTACCCTGGTATCAAAATGGGCCAGGCCAAAGAGTCACAATACTCAACTATAAGTTGAGAGCATGGTCATGGACACATACTGTCATGATCCAAAAGTAACGACGAGATTAGGACCCTGCTGGGGTTAGGAAGACTAACCTAACCTGAGGTCTGTGGTCTGGAATATATAGTGAGATGTCCTTAAGAAGAACCAAACTTTAAGTTGCTATATTTCTTACTGCGCTCATACAGAATGACATTGCTAGAAATATTAGAAGTAGATTTACTACAACTATCTAAGTGGATTACTAGTTGAGGAAAGACAAAATGACACATCCTGGATGGGATCCCGCCCTTAAGCAGATCTAGTAATCTGGAGTAAACTCCTTAGATGAGATTTTGTCCTTGAATTAACCTCCTGGAGGAGTGGTCTTACCCCTCTTCGTTGATTTGTTAATGTTCAATGCTCCTTTATATCACCACCCCATGTGATTGCCATATAAACTAAGACTGTAAGAGTGGAGGGGGCTCCAGCGAGAGAGGCAGAAGGGAAATCAGAGGAGAATGGAGAGGAGATCGGAATAAACTGCAATTGATACTGACCCGCCTGTCCCTCATTCCTTCCTTGCCTGCCCATTGCCAACAGCCATCCCGATCTAGTCCATACATAGCGGCTCGAGAGCACCGAACGCGGGTGGGCAAGAGGGAGCTGCCCGGAGAGCCCGCGAACACACACATCACCCTTCCGTGCACGCATGTGTATTTTTTATACCAAACCATTTACAATTTTAGAATTCCAGAAGTTACCTATCATGATATTCATAATAAGCAATAGAAAATAAATTACCTAGCATCTTCCCCTGGCAGGCAGGCTTGAGTGTCTGGGAAAATTCAAATAATGGTGGTGGGAAGGTGTACTGGTGGTGGGATTGGTGTTGAAATATTGAATGTAATCAATTACTGTGAAAAGGCTTATGAAAGTTTTAAAAAAATGCTCTAGCCTTTTGCATCCCCTCTCAACCCGCCCTGTACCACATCTTTATACATTTATCTCTCATGGACACTTAAGTTGTTTTCCATGTCTTGACTATTATGAAATATGCTGTATATTGTGAATCATGGGAGTACAAATATCACACAGTATTTATTTAGTTATTTTGGGCCACATATAGAAACTGAGGGCTTACTCCTGGCTCTGTATTAGGGGATCATTCCTGACAAGGTTTGGAGGATCATATGGGACACTGGAGATCGAACCTGGGTCAGCCTTGTGCGAGGCAAGCACCTTAATCCTCTGTACTATTATTTCAGCACCTCACTTCTAGATAGTGTTTCCATTTCCTACTGATATATTCCTGTAAATGGGACTATTGGATTATATGCTAATTCTTTTGGGGGGGGAGTTGGGGTGAAGCTCCCAAGCTTTGCCTAGGAGACCTGGGGATGCCTCCTGGTAAATCTTGGCCAAATAGGATTTTATTTAGGGGGTGGGGAGCACATCCAGTTGTGCATTCCTGGTGGGGTTAGGGGATGAATCAGGATTGACCAAAACGCAGGGCAGGCACTTTATCCCCTGTATTGTCTCTTTGGTCTCTGGGCTGATGGTTCAATGATAGGGCCCA